TGCTCCTGCTATTACTGCTACTACTAGTCTAGTAACTGCTGCTGCTGCTATGACAACCACTACCCTTAGTCCTACTGCTCCTGCCCTGCTGTTAGTCCTGCTGTCACTGAGCACCACTGCTGGGCTGTGACTCCTACTGTACCTGTTGCCGAAGCGGCCACCACGCCTGCCGTTGTAGCTGTTAGCAGGAGCACTGCTGTGGCCCAGAGAGCACTGACCATCTGTGCATTCCCACTGGCCAAGGGGCCAGCTCCATGGCCTCCCACCAAATCCTCACCACGTCCCTCGTGGTTTCCATCTGGCCGGAGAGGACATGGAAGTTCGTCGGGTGGTTTGATTTTTTTTCCCAAGCCTCCTACCCCGGTCACTGTCCCTCGCTGGTGAGAAGTGGTGTCCAGCCCTGAGTCCTTCAGCCAGACTGGAGGCGGAGCCTCACATCCTCCTCATCAGGGGGCAGCAAACTAGGGCCCACCCCCTGTTTTTGTCAATAAAGGTTTATTGGCACACAGCCTCAGCCTTTTGCTGAATGTGGCCTGTAGCTGCTGTGGGGGGCTGCCAGGGCAGGGTGGCATTGTTGCCGCAGAGACAAGGGCCCCAAAGCCATTTCTGGGAAAGTGCGCTTGCCCCAGACTGTGCTGCGAGCTGGTGGAGGCCCACTGAGTTATGGGGTTGCTCTTAGGGGAGGGGAAAGTGGGCAATGTCGCTGGGATTATTCTCACATTCACTTGGAAGAAAAGACAGGTTAAAAACAGCAACTCTGTGAGGCGCCCTGGTGGCTTAGTGGTTACACATTAGGCTGCTAACCCCAGGGTCAGCAGTTCAAAACTCACCAGCCCCGCGAAGGAGAAAGATGAGGCGAGAACAGCAATGAAGGAAGAAAGAGCCCTACTTCCTGGAAGCTCGTCAGAATGCCAGCCGCTGGGAATATTGAAGCCCCGCCCCGCCTCTTGATTGCTTTGTATTATTTCCATACTTTATAGCTAGTTGTCTCATTGAATGAGCAGAATTGACAGAAACCCTACCACTTCAGAACATAACAAGAAAACCAACCCACGGCCACAGAGTCAGTGCCGACTCAGAGGGACCCTGTCAGAGCCAAATAGACCTGCCCTTTGGGCTCCAGGGCTGTGACTCTCCGGGAGCGGACAGCCTCATCTTTATCCGTTGGAGCGGCTGTTGGGCTCAAACCCATGTCTGGTCTGTCCGCTGTGTTGATGTGTCGGGCCCAGGTGTGGAGGTGTTCTGTCACTCATGCCTGTGGCCCCTTCAGTCCCCGAGATGTGTACTATTTCTTTTCAGCCGAAACCCATCTCGAATAAGAGCCTGAGATGGGCCTGTGCCTTTTGTTGTTGTTGTTGTTGTTGTTGTTGTTGATGTTGATGATGATGTTACATCATTTTACTGGGGCCTCTGACAGCGCTTGTAACAATCCGTACATCAGTTGTATCAAACACATCTGTACATAGGCTGCCATCATCCTTTCAAAACATTGTCTTTCTACTTGAGCCCTTGGTATCAGCTCCTCTTTTATTCCCTACCTCCCCCACCCTCCCACCCATGTGACCCCTTGATCAATGATTAATTTTGATTATTTTCG